CTTATTTTTGCTTCCTAATCTGTATGATTTAAGTGCATGGTAAGTTTTTAAGGCCAATGTTTTAGACTAGGAAGGAGTTCCATCTGATTTTTTTTTTTTTTTTTAAAGGTTAGTATTGGTCAGTCAAAGCATGCTTATTTGGAAGCTCTCAGCTGGTGAGTTGTGGATTATTTTGGACCCAGCAAGCAACCGAAAAGTCTCTGGGTCTTCTCTTTCCTCTCCAGAACTGCAGAGGAAAGATCTGAAAACAGTGAGGCCTTAGTGATAGGATGATCTTCAGTTTGCTTTAGATGATCTTCAGTCTTTAATGGTAAAACTCATTGAATTGCCCACAGGAGCTAGAGTACAGGGCAGAATTGGACTGGAAAATTCCTTTGTATGTATATGTTGTTGTTGTTATTGTTTTTCTTTCTGATTTTGCCAGCTGTTGGATGAGAAGTATACTCTTGTCTGCCAAGGCCTGTAGAAATCTTTTTTTTTTTTTTTTTTTTTAAAGAGAGAGTGAGAGAGAGAGGGGGAACAGAGAGAGAGAGAGAGAATTTTAACATTTATTTATTTTTTCTTAGTTCTCGGCGGACACAACATCTTTGTTGGTATGTGGTGCTGCTGAGGATCGAACCCGGGCCGCACACATGCTAGGCGAGCGCGCTACCGCTTGAGCCACATCCCCAGCCCTGTAGAAATCTTAAACAATCAAATGTTATGTGAGAAAGCTCCTTGTGTCTCCCAAAGGAGAAAAGCATATTAGCTCAAGGTGGCATTTTAACGTCTTCCAAAGTGAGGGGAGATGCCAGGAACCATTTCAGTTATTTATTTGGTTTATAGATGTTGTTGCTATTCAGGAACCTGCAGGCAAGTATTTTAGAAAATGGATGCCCCAGAATGGCTTATGAGGCAGAATAAAATATTCAGGGACTTAGGAGCCTATAAAATGTTTTTTTGGAGAAAATATATGAGTTTTCCAGAGTGGCAAGATTTAATTTTTTTTAAAAAAGTGTTTATTAGCTGTGATGATGAATAGATACATTGGTAGATATCTTCATTTCGTCTTTTGCATATCATTGCTCTGTCTGATTAGAATGGCTTGGCAGTCTTAGGATATTTGAATAATGATCCTGCTAGCCATGTCAGAAGAGTGAAAAGTAAGTTTTGTAGAACTGAGAAAAGTGGCTACAACTCAAGGCCTTTTTTTTACCCCGGCAAAGTCCCATGGCCAGTTCTTCTTCCCATAGCAAACTTTTCTTCACCATAATGTTGCGTAAGTCCTAGGTTTTAAAAATAATATTTGTAGCTGGCACACGATGCCAGTGTCTGTGGCTACATGGAGCAGGATCTGTCATATCTCAGAAACCCAGGTGGCTCTGGGCCAAGGCACTATGACTGAACCCTGAACTTGCTTCCACAGAAGCCAACCTTTCTTCACGCTGTTGCTCTCATTGAATAATTCCTGGAAGGTCTATCTGAGTACATCTTTGGCTGCCTCCAGGACCCAGATCAAGTCTTAGTTTCTTAAGAAGCCTTTCCCTCTTCTTTGCCTTCCTTTTTAAAATTCTCTTTCCTTGCTATGGGAAGCCTCAGCGTTTTAGTGCTGATGGACAATACTGTTTGGGTCTGCTGCTGCATTATTTCCTGTGGGTTAGATCTGGGTACAGCATGTCTCCTTCCATGCTTTCTCTTCCTACACAACTTAGTCCAGTAATCATAAGCTATGCAGCTTAGGAGTTGGTGGCTAGCTAGCTGAGAACTGAAATGAAAATTTCTACATGGCTGGTACATTAGAACGGCCAAGAAACTGGGCCACTTTCCCAGGGCCACAGAGTTTGTACATTGCCCAACTCCAAGGAGTACTAGTCCATGAAATGAATGTCATCCACTGGGGCTGAGCAATACAGTGGCCCTGAATGTCCTCCAGGGTCCACGCATGACCAGTGTTGACACAGTACTGCATTATGCTGGCTGGTCTGGAGGCTCTGCCCTACCTCCTTTCTTTCATTGTTTTGTCTGTTTCAATGGAAAGTTAAAAATTAGTGAGGTGTGAGTCTAACCTCCTATAACTCTTGAAGATCATTTTTGTAAAATGAGGTCCCCAACTCTTGCATCAGGAAAATTTAGGGTGCTGGTTAAAACATAGATTATTCAGCTCTTCAGTAGACTTACAGTCAGTTAAGGATAGGGGCTGGTAGTTTTAATAAGAAAGACTATTACTCATTGAAATAAGTTCAGCAAGGGAGACCATAGTACCTTAAAGGGTTAATGCCACTGCCTTAACCTGTTATACTGTCTCTTGTAAAACTTTTTTGATTCATTTAAATTAAAAAGCTGCTTAGGGGACAGTTGCTGAATGCTCACTACTGTGCCAGCCACATGGGAGACTCAAATGTAAAAAGTAGGGGCTTTGCTGTTGAGAGGCTAATAATTCATTGGGAAATAAAAGATATGAAGTAAATAAAAATAAACAGTTTGTGTGTGCACATACATACACATAATCTTGTGATACTGTGTAGCTATAAACCTGAGTGACTTACTAACAGTACTTCAGGCAGGCATTTGCATAAGAGAGACCAGCTTCAAGGAATAGTGGGGAAAGGTTCACAGTTTTGGACTCAAGCAGTAAATGTTACATTAATTATAGTTGGTTAGATTGAAACCCATTGTAATTTCATTCACAAATGTTTTAGCAACTTAAACTCATATCAGTAATCAAAAGCCATATAAATATTAAAATGGATAATGAGTGTCATACATCTATATCTATCTATCTGTCTGTCTGTCTGTCTATCTATCTATTTATCTATCTATCTATCTAATTTGGTTAGTACTTTCTATTAGTTTCTATGGGACATGAAGGAGAGGTCAAAAAGAGGAGAAACCTCAGGCTAAAGATGTGATTCAAAGAGTGCCTGCCTAGCTTGCGTGAAAACCTGGGTTCAATCCCCAGCACCACCAAATAAAATAGAGAGAGAAGAGAAAGGATCTTATATTTGACAGCTGTCCTATGATGATTATATTAAATTAAAAAAAAAAATTTTTTTAGTTGTTGATACACCTTTATTTTGTTTATTTAAATGCGGTGCTGAGAATTGAACCCAGTGCCTCACACATGCCAGGCAAGTGTGCTACCACTGAGCCCCAGCCACAGCCCCTGATTATGTTAAAATTTTGCTTCACTGGAATGCTTGGTGAAAAGCAATCTACAAGTTCACTGAGAATAAACCAGAAAGCTTTTTATTTGCTCAATATTTTTCTGAATTTTATCATGGTCTAAAGTTTTATTTAATGTGTAAAAATTGCATCCTTTGATCATGTCTTTATCACTTGAACATGTTTCTCCTTAGATAACTTACTGGTCTAGATTAGAAGGCTGGAGGACCTGTGAAGTCTCTTGTCGGGCATGTTCCAGACAGAGACATAGACGTGAGAACTGGAAAGGAGCTGCACAGTATCTTGGTTGGTATATTTTGCCTCTGGAGGAAGTCAGGCTTCATGCTGTTAAGGGACTTACAGTCATTAAAGTAATACCTAGCACATGGTGAGTGCCCAAGAAATTTTGGCTACTGTTATTAGAAGAATTTGAACCCAATTCCAGTAATTTGTTCTCAGGTATTGAAGAGATTCTTCTATCAAATTCATTTTATTGATCTCTGATCAGACCTTCTAAGAGTCCTCCGTGCCTATATTTTCTTTTAAATCCCAATTCTTAATTCACTTCATTTTCTTTATATCCTGCTTTTTTTTTTTCTTCTTGAAAGTGAAGAAGACAGAATAAATGCAGAGAAATTGGAGTTGCACTTTAAAGTTTTGATTTTATTGTCCTTACTAGAGCCGGCCTGAGGTTTTCTGCTACCTTTTATAAAATTTATGCCCAGCATAATTCTGATTTTTATTGCCTTCTCTGTGCAAATGCACACCTTCACTTATGCTGATGGTGGCACTACTGTTTCTTCATGGCAAGCCTGTAACATTTTCTGGAAACTTTAAAAGCATGGAATAAAAACTTTGTGGATATACTAGGGGTGGAAGTAGGAAATTAGGGGGAACCAGAAACATATGCCAAAGGTTTTGGCACCCTTTAGAAGACTAAAGAACCTTCTTCTTCTTTTAAATAGAATCAAAAGGGGGAAAAGGTGTCAGGCAAAGTTTGCTCATAAATACGAGCAAGTTTGGTGGATATATTTAAAAATGTGAAAGCCAGAACAAAATTTATTAATCAAATAACTTGTGCATCCTCCACCCTCCAAACACACATTTTCTTGGGAGGAGAAGGAACTAATAATAAAACCTTGAAGCTTTAAAAAAGTCTTGTCTTCATACTCCTCTTTTCTGTCAGTCCTGTTACAGTCTCTAGAAGAGGCTGAAAAGAAGTGACGGGTAACTATGGTACATTCGGAAGCCTTGAAATGGGATTATTTGGGCAATTTGAAGACTTCAGTAAAAACAAAAAGCACAAAGTTAAAGAATCGGGCTGCTGACTTTTCTTTCTATCTCCTTTAAGTATAGCAGATAATTTTTTGACTGTTTAAAGCTCAAATAGAGTCTTACAGGTGTTGAATATGTGCTTCATTTCTTTAACTGGTATCTAAATCTTCCAAAAACTTTTTAGTAACTAAGATTCTATTTGAGACCAGTGTATATTGTATGTAGGTCTGTTATGTGTTTTCTGCCAATGAAGATTGAAAATCCAATATTTCTTGAAACAGAACAAATGAGATGATCATAATTTCAGCCTTTAACTTTGGGTTCCTTTTGCCTTTAGGAAGTCTCTGTGTGTGCGCATGTGTGTGCGACTTTGATTTTTCTTTTTTGCACCTTTGGTGGGATTACTGACTTTGGTTTCTTGACTGATTCTATGAGAATTTTTACTTTTATTTCTGTCAGTTTTTAAATTGATTTAATATTGAATTATTTTTTATAGAAGAAGAAAAGCAATATCTGTTTAACAGTTTTTATACAAAAGGCCCTGGCTTGCTTTGTTTTAATCAACCTTTCTTTTCTCTTTTCAGAGGACGTTAAGCAAGTTTTTGGACAGACCACAATTCATCAACATATTCCGTTTAACTGGGATTCAGAATTTGTGCAACTACATTTTGGGAAAGAAAGAAAAAGACACCTGACATATGCAGAGTTTACTCAGTTTTTGCTGGTGGGTCTAATTCTTAAAATGTTGACAAGAGCAGTTAAGTAAAACATGACATCAAATTGTGGGTAAAAAGATACTGGCTTTGACTTTAGCCTTGAATTTTTATTTACTGCAACTTTGAAATGCTGACAAGACTGTCTCATTTGGAAGTATTTCTTTATTAGTATGTTTAAGTCATTAAAATATATATACATATTGAGACCCCACAAAATTAGATGATTTCCTCAAGATCACTTCGGTCAGGAGCGACAAAATTTGAACTTGAATTCAGGACTTTTGAGTGGCTCTACTACTGTGTACTGTTTCTCCCCCCCCCCCTCCACCCTAAGAACTGAGATGTCATGTTTGTATCTAACTGTAGCATCATTTCATCTGAGGCCTTTTATAGATTTAAGCCACTGGTCTCAAAGTTGACTACATATTGGAATTACCTGGGGAGCTTTGAAAACTATCATTGCCTGGCTCCCACCTCCAGAGATTGATGAGGTCAGGGGGCATTGGATATTTGAAGCTTCTCTCGTATCCTTGATGTGCAGACAGGTTGAGAACCAGTGCTTCCCATGGGCAACTCAGGAATTGTCTGCATTTCTGGGTGCACCTTTCTTAGCCCAGTCCCTCCTGCCCTTTATTCTTTACCACTTTCTTCCATTATGGTTATATCATTGGGCCACAGATGATGTCAACTGAAGAGTGTTTTTAAAAAGATATATGATTATAGTGTAAGTTTTCCTTCAGAAGTATCATGTAAAAACTGTTTCAATTCCTGTGTTAACATTTAGTCATAGAATGTCAGTACCAGTATGATATATAGATCTCTGTGATGGACCACCCTTTCTATCAGATTTTTATGCTTTTGTTTTGTTTCATTTATATTTTGTTAAATCATAAATTTCATTTAAGAGTATTCTTTTGATATATTTAAATTCTGAGCCTTGAGGTTAAACTTGTCAGGGTAATCAGCTTTGGTTCTTGGTTACTAAGAATATTCATAGCTCTCTTGGTGCCCCTGGTTCTTTTGTGTGTCCAAGACATCGCCAAAGCCTTCGGCACAGCTGGGAGGGAAGAGGAGGTTGCATAGCTGCACATGGACACTGAGCTGTGGTGCTCCTTCCTCAGCATTTCTGTGGCATCCCTTTTTAGGTAACAGTATCTACAATTAGTTAACTTCAAAAGGTGCCTCTCTTTTTGACTTTTAATAGTACTGCTAGGATACATAGACTATTTTGTTCTTGCCTTAAACATGCCTTTGTATTTTCTTAACATGTTAATATGTATGAGTCCTTATTTTCACTTCCATATGAACATAAACGTACTTGAGTAACTCAGGTGGAGAAGAGAATGTGAGTTGGGTTTTTGCTGTTGTTTACACAGGACATTGGCACACTGTAGGAGGCAGTATTCATTTTGATGAGGAATAATTACAATAATGCTATTGAGACAAATGCCTCAAATTGACTTTATAGAATACAGCCTAATTAACTTTTAGTCTTAATGGGATGTTAGCAATAGTAAAGATGATCACATTTCCCGCTTTAAGCAAGTATCAATTATACTGAATTGCATAGCAGCGTCTAGGCAAGAATGGAAGATATGGGAAAAGCCAGAGTGCAGAGCTGGATGACTCATGGATTACCAGCTATGTTTCCAGCTGCAGCTTGTAGGGTGTGCATTTAAATTTGACTTCATTCCTTGCTGATAAATGGAATCATCCTGTGGTGTCTTAGACGGAATGATTTTGATCTTAGGGCCAGAATAGAAGTATTGAACTTTTACCAGATTAAATTGACTATGGTTGTTAATGATTTTGTCCAGGTCCTGCTTTTGTGTGCAACTCCAGACCCAGATTTAAAGAAATTGGTAGACATATCATGACGGGCTCTACATGACACCTAGGAATGCCATTTTGATACCTTCCTTCCCTTCATTTCAGATGTTTGGTTTACTTCCTGTGAACTCTTTTCTGAATGCAGATTGAGCTTCTGACCTCCTCTTCGAATTCCTTTTTGCTTCCTGGGGCTCTTGTTTCTGGATGTGGATAGCGTCTGAAAGAAATAAGTGAATTTTATCTGGTGTTTCAAGCTTGTACTTCATCAGGCATGCACCGTCTTTCTGCTCTAGGGCAGGGCTCAGAAGCATAGGCACCAGCTCCTTGGTTGGTGCCAAGGTTGTAAAAGCAGATGCTTGGCTGAAAGAGCTGCCACCATGCATGTTACTACCTGTCTCTGATGAGGAAGAAGAACAGCTATAGGGACAACTGAGAGATGCTTGTGGTTTCTAGAAGCCTGAGTGCAATATAGAGAAAACACTGCTGTATTTCACTGAGGTCCCTAGAAAGTAGTAGATCAGGTTGGTTTCAGCCAGCACGTGGTACCCATACTCATGTATGTACACATGTGTCATTGGTGGGCAGTGCCATTTTTTTTGCAAGTTTCAATTTTTTCTTCATTTAATAAATGTTTTACTATAAACAAATCCGAGTTTGTTACCATCTACCATGTGACTATGAGAATCTTATTTGGTTCATGTGCTCATCTTTGTATGGTCTAGGTCAGGTCCCCACCCATTAAGGTAATGACAGGTAGGGACCTTCCTTCAATGGTGAGCCAGTATCTTTTTCTGTACTTTGTGTATAAAATTCATTTAATGGGCAGATCAATTTGTTAATTCTTTGAGTTCATCTTGCCTTATTTGTATCGTGCCTCTAATTAATAGTGCTGAATCAAGTAGCAGAGACATGAAGCCTTCTTCCTGTAGTCCCATTCCTTGTTAGTGTGGAAGAATTTGAGAAGGGAATGGGGCCACATTTCTGTTTCATTTATATTATTGTACTGTCTGCTGATGTTTTTTAAAATCCCATTTCTTTAATTTGTGCATGATAGTGTGTATGAATATAAATACAGTTATATATAAAGCACACAGTTTTTAGATATTTTGTTGTTGGTTTTTTAAAAAATTTTTTATAACTTTTTATTTTATTTATTTATTTTTATGTGGTGCTGAGGGTCGAACCCAGGGCCTTGCCTGTGCGTTGTGAATGCTCTACCACTGAGCCATAACCCCAGCTCCTATTTTGTTGTTCTTGTTGTTACCTGTGGTGCTGGGGACTGAATTCAGGGTCCCACACACTCTAGGCAAGCCACCACTGAGCTACATCCCAAACCCTATGTATGTGTATTTTAAAATACAAAACCTCTCCATGCACCTCTACTCTGAGCTCCTAGAACAAATTTCTAATTTTATGGTTGCTAGTATAAAAGTGAATTTTAATATTCTAAGATTTTTAGAAAGCAACTTGGAATATTTTTCCTATCAGGCAAAGTATTCACTTCAGCAGTGTTTGTTGAGTATGCAGGGTTTGTCAAGAGGCCTTTTTGTGAAGAACTGAGCTGTGCAGAGGCAACAATTCTTGAGACAATTATAATGTACAAATCTGGAAATTGTTCCTATTTATGTCCACCTGAGAGTATAAAAAGAGAAACTCAAGCAGGTGTAGAATGTAGACCCTGAGAGTTTGTTCTTTTGTAGCAAAACTCTTAAGGGTTTGTAATATAAAGCCTAACAACATTCAAAATGTGGGTATACAGCAGCCATCTGAAGTATGAACTTACAGAGCCAGGTATGAGCATCAAGGCATTTAGTTAACTGCCCCATTTTACAGATGAGAAAACAGACTTTTGATTTCAGAAACTCTTACAATGACCTCATGTGTGCTTTTGATTCACACTTCTCTAAAAATAATGTTGAGCATCTTTCCAAGTGCTTATTGACACCTACATGTCTTCTTGGGAGAAGTGTCTATTCCTTTGCCCATTTTTTTATTGAGTAGGTGTCATAGGATACTTGGGGCACAGAATGAAAGATCCTTTAAACTGTTCTGCCAAATTATTCTTTAGAGTAAGTACTAAGACACTTTTTCAAAAGAAGTAATAATTGATGACTAATATCTGTATGATCCTTATAATTTACAAAGTGTTTTAAATATTGTTTTTCTGATAATAGCATCCTCCAATGCCCCAAGACGTAATTATCATTATTCCCTATTATATGCAAAAGAATAAATAGACTCTAGGGTAAAATTTTGCATCATTTATAGATAATTTTCTGGGGAAATGACCCATAGCTTTCAGTAAGTTCCCAAAGGAGTATTCCAAAACAGAAAAAACAGCTGCTGTAGAGCTTAGCTTCTTCAGTGAAATCAAAGACATTCAAGGGATTCAAAACCATGATGTTACCATTGTAGTGCATTTTCCCCAGGGCCAAGGATGTGTTCCTAGAAGGAGCTTTACCTCTGAGTAGGGGTGCTCGGCGTCCATGCATTGCTGGACATCGAGCATTCCTGACCCCAACCTTTAGTCACCAGATATGAACCTTAGTAGAGTGCATGTTACTGTTGTTTTCAATTATTTTCTGATACTGTTTTATAATTGCATCTATATTTCACATATAATTATTAAAATTTAAAAATAATCTACACATAGGGATTTTCCCATGGCTCCAACCTCAGGTTTGAAAAGTCTAGGATTGCTGCCAAATCCAATATTACTATTAACTAGAAAAACATGGCTATCGGCTACCTCTCATGCAGCATTTTCCAGCTTAAAGAGTGCTTTCACTGTTGGTTGTATTTGTCCTTACAGTCACCTTAGGTATTAAGTAAGGCACTGGCTGTTGTTTCTCCATGAAAGAGGAGCACTCAGAAGCTTAGAGAAGTTTTCTGAATTTATTCCAGATTAGACAGGTGGAATCGAAAGTGAATTTTCCTAAGTCTCTAGCAGTGTTTTCCAAATGTAGTGTAAAAGTGACCTGAGATGCTCATTTTAAAATGCAGAATCCTGGTCCTTTTTGCCTTCAAGACTCTGAATCAGTATTTCTGGGTTGGGCTAAGAAACTGCCCTTCCATTAAACATCCTGAATTGTAATGCTGCAGATAGTCTATGAACCATATTGGTCTAGACTTCTCAACTCTGGATGTTTAAGAACATAGAACTTGGCCCTAAGTCTTC